TTATTTATTTGTTTATTTATTGATTTATTGATTATAGAGACAAGGTCTTGCCAAGTTGCCCGAGCTGGTCTTGAATTCCTGGGCTCAGGCAATCCTCTCACCTCAGCCTCCCAAAGTGCTAGGATTACAGGCTTGAGGACTGCACCCAGAGAAAAGGCTTTTCTTAATTCCAAAACCTTGGTCCTGGTGGATTCATGGCATGAAAATATTGTTGGATAATATAAAGAGCAAGGCTTCCTGTTCAAGTGAGAAGAAACTGGGGAAAGAAGTAAAGTAGTTTTTGACAGGTATGTGTCCCTAGGTTAGGAGGATCTAAGAGCAAAGATATTTCTGCCTCTTGTTTTTAGGTAGAGCCCAAGGAAGTAGCAACACCCTAGAGTTTCTCTGCACCGTGGCAGGCAATAGGACTTACTTTGCTCTCTACACATCTCTCACCATCAGATTTGTACAGAGCCCCAAGAAAGGGACAGAAATAGTAAGACAGTGTCTCTGGCCCTAAGGAGCATATTCAAGATGCATGAAGAACAGTGCAGCTTCCATTCTCATGAATGGACCAATAACAGAGGATAGGCAAGGTGATATATCTATCACAAGGTGCCAAGATGTACAGCAAAGGGAGAAACTCTCCTCTCAGACCCATCCGAGATTCCTTGGCAATCCTTTTTTTTTGTTGTTGGAGTCTCACTCTGTCACCCAGATTAGAGGGCAGTGGCATGCCTCCCGGCCACCTCAGCCTCAACCTGCTAGACTCCAGCGATCCTTCTGCCTCAGCCTTCCAAGTAGCTGGAAATACAGGCACACGCTACCACGCCTGGCTAATTTTTTATTTATTGTAGAGACGAGGTCTCACCAAGTTCCCCGGGCGGGTCTCGAACCCACAGGCTCAGACAATCCACACGTCTCAGCCTCCCAAAGTGCTGGGATTACAGGCTGAGCCACCGAGCCGGCTCCTTGGCAATTTTTAAGCCTCTGGAATTTAGATGCAACCCTGACAAAGTGGAAGAAACGAAAATCCAACTGAGATGAAGGTTCTGCCACCTAAAGAAAGGGGGTGTTGCAAAATAAATTCAATTCAGCTATAGAAAAAGAGAAAGTTACAATTTACAAGGGAGTTTGATAGTATCTATAACATTTTTCATTTTAAAAACCTTGAAGTAAGGCTAGGCATGGTGCTCAAGCCTGTATTCCTACCACTTTAGAAGGCCAAGGTGAGAGGATTGCCTGTGTCCAAGGGTTCAAGACCAGCCTGGGAAACTTGGTGAGACCTCGTCTCTACAATCAATCAAAAAATTAGCTGGGTGTGGTGGCGTGCACATATAGTTCCAGCTACTTGGAAGGCAGAGGTGGAAGGATTGTCTGAGCCCAGGAGGTTGAGGCTGCGATGGTCGTGAGCATGCCACTGCACTCCAGCCTGAGAGACAGAGTGAGACTTCAACTCAAAAAATTAAATAAATAAATAAATAAACAAACAAACAAATAAATAAATAAAAATGAAAACCCTGAAGTAAACTAAAAATGATATTTGATCAAGCTTGACTGTTGGCTATATCTTAGATGGTCAAACTATTTTACAATATAATACTTCGAAGTAAAATATGTTTATTCCAATCCTAAATTTGTGGACTAAAATGTGTCCCCTTTACACTAACAACTATTATCATTCAGGCAGTATCCTCAGAGTTTTAAATGCCTCAACCCATTAAAGTTTGCAACATCCCTATTGGGTAGATACCAATGATTTTTTTTTTAATTTAAAAATACGGAAAGTAAAGCTAATGTAAAGAAAAAGTATGAAAAGTAAACTTTCTTAGCCATCTTGACGAGCAAGATTTCTTTAAACAGAAATAGCTGTTTGAAAAAAATAGCTGTTTGCTTGTTGTTGTTTTTTTAGTTGAGATGTAGTGCATTCAGGACAGTATGGTCATACACGGTTTGTTTTTCTAAAGAAAGTAAATTTTAAAAATTAATACTCAAAGTGGAAAGACTTAAACCAAGGAATATTCAAATGAAGTCTTCAAGCCAGAACAGGGATAGGAAGGGATTAGCTGATATGGCAAGTCTTCATCCAAAAAGTTATTTCTCTTCACATACAAAGTGGGCAGATATGGGAAGATGGACTCAATGAAATTCTCGGATGCAGGTGAATAGGGAAAGGTGTGTGGGGTAGTGATGGTGATAAACAGTAAATATTGAGCTGAACAAACAGACTGTAAAAAATATTGACTTGTTTATGTACTGACACACAGATTGTAAAAATGTTGACATGTTTATTACTTTCATGCACATAGTCACTACTCTGAAATGTACTTCTACCTCCTCTTACCCTTTTCCTGAAGGCCCCTAACCTTCTGATGACTCAGCAGTTAACCAGCAGGACTCTAATGCACAGCCCAGTGCTGCAGCTTAAGTTGGGAATAGTTATTTTTTTAAAACGTCACACCTGGTGATAGTTCCTATTATAACTCAAGTTAGAATCTCTTTCCTGAACTCAGTGACAAAGGCGTATTTGAGGAGTCTCAGGCTTTGGGGTGCTGGGAAATGTTGGAAAGATGCCTGCTTCCTAAAACCATTAATGTCATTGTAAATGGTCAAACCTTAGATTCCTAATTCTGGAGTAGGAATTAGAAGAAGCTAGTTGAGAATATAAAAAAGACCCAGGGTGTGGTGATGGGATGGGATGGCAGGGTAAAAGGGCACTGAGAAGGAGAAGGTAGAACACAAAAAGCTACTAGCTTCATAATTTTTCCATAAGCAGACACTGACCAGACTACTACTTAGAAATCCCATGTCTCAGAAGTTAATAACAAGTATTATAGTTATTCATCAATGGTAAAATGTTTCCTTATCCAATAAGAACTCATTAAAAATAGATATTTTTAGTGTATTTAAACTTTAGTTTCTTCATCTCTCAGAAGGTTGATCTGGTTGAGCTGGGTTCCTTTAGGTTTATATTCTAGTAACATATAATCCATGAGCTGACCTTTAATGCTGTTCCAAAAAAAAAAAGAGGACAAATGTGTTGCCATCTACCCTTTTTCTTTTTAGTAAATGATTTGAAGAAAGTTAATAACTTGCCTCCAAGCCCAGAGTTATCTGTGTGGACATCAAAGCAAAGACAATTTTATTTACATCATCTGTTCATTTCAAATCTTGTACCTCTGCTAACAATGCTCTTCTTCACTGCTTTGCCATTTCTCATAAGTTCGGTGCTGTTTCTCCAAGTGAGCTATTATAACCAGACTAAGATCTGTTTCTCTTTGGTGCCAGCTTCTTGTTGAGGCAGGTTAAGGAAGAGTGTGTGGTTTTTCCTCTCATTAGGAATGCATTTTGGCATTGACAACGCTTCACTGATCATTATGATTCCATGTGCTGTAGTTGATTAGATTTCTACATGGACTTCCCCAGCGAGGGCTTTCCCTCTATTGAGTACTAGTTAAGCATTCACTCACAGGCCTCCCCAGAAGGTTCTTTGCTTGCTGGAATGCAAGACAAGCTCCCTCTGTGTTCCTGTTGACTTTTTTCAGTTAGGATTACTCATCGCAGCTGAAGACTGAATAACAATAGATGGGAAACGGTTTCCACATTTTTACATAGAACATAATCCCAACTGCCTTGTATGAAGGAAGAGTTAAATGAACAGTGATCTTGTGGCCATCATTAGAGGTGAATTAGATACCAGAGAAGACACTGAACCTGACACTATCCGTTTCTAACACATCATGTTTGTTAATATTTGTTAACACAATTTGCTCAAAGGATTTATAAATGTAATGTGGTAGAAAAATTAAGACAACTAAACTTTTGAAAATCTTGTCTTCTAATGAAGAATGGCCAGCACAATTAAAGCCATGCCAACATCTGTGACACTGTGATACTTTCCCTGCCACTCCTAGTTGAAACTAGTCTTTTTTTGTTGTTTGTTTTTCAAAAACTGCATTGCTTTTTTGCTACCAACAATAGCCAGTCCCTTACAGTTCTCTTTTATATTTTCATGTCTTCTCTCCAACTGGATAATCAACTCTTTCAGCATTCCATCTTCTATTCCCCCTCTCCATCTCCTCACCTCCACTTCATATTGCTCTCGCTAGACTGCCAGTATTTTTATTTTAACCCGTGCCCCCAGCTTATAAAATTTCAAGTGATAATTTGACTCTGGGTTGCATATGGAACCCTAAACAACATATCTCTACCATTTTTGGATAATGAATTTCCCGACTCATTATAGCCCAAAGTAAAATAACTGATTACTGTTTAATAGTCTTAGGCTGCTTTATAAGGTAAAGAGAGAAGCCCCGAATTCAAGAACAGATAAAATACTTTAACGTTTTTTTTAAAAAGCTAATCAATTGGTAGAAAAGTCTTCCCTCACAGCCAAGCACATTAAAAATAAATACTCTCTAATAATACATTTGAAGTTTTAATCAAATATTTCTACAATTGTAAACATTTTATGTATTTTGTACTTATGGTATAACCTGTTGGCATAAATGTCCTTTGCTCCAGAAAAGATCGGTAATAAAATTGTAGAAAAGTTAAACATATTCATTTCTTCTTTCAAAGCGTTTGGGAGACATTTCATAAGCGGGTAGGAAGCATTAAATGCTGCATGCCTGTTTCTCCGAGTTTCCATCCACATCGACTATTAAACATCACCAAAGCACCCCACGCCCACAGATCCCTCCCTTGAGTTTAGATGTGAAGTGGACCTGAAGGTTCCTAGCCATTTTTTAATCCCACACGGGGAAGCAGAGGTGTCTCAGGCAGCGATGGAACGTGGGCGATGGGCGGGGCGGAGCCGGCTTGGGTCAGGGCAGAATTGTTTCTGCCGCCCGGGTTGCCCATACTGGGCATCTCTGCAGGAGCGTTGGCTCCCTCCACCCCTGCCGAGATGATGCACCGCGAAAGCATTCGGTCTCCCTGGGACGCCTCTTGGTGGTTCGGAGCTGGGAAAATGTGGCCCCAGGTTTAAAATATCTGCCCAAGCAGCCCAGCGCGGGAGACACGCTTTCTCACTCGCTCTCTGCTCCCCGCGGGCACTCCCCGCCCTCTGCTGCCAGAACCTTGGGGATGTGCCTAGACCCGGCGCAGCGCACGTCCGGGCCAAGCGCGAGCAGAACAAACCCTTGGCGCGCGGCCAGGAGGCTCCCTCCCAGCCACCGCCCCCCGCCAGCGCCTTTTCCCCCCCCTTCCAATACAAGATCTTCCTTCCTCAGTTCCCTGAAATCACAGCCCAGGGACACCTTCTCAGAGCCATCATCCAGCCACAGGCCAGCATGTCTGGGGGCAAATACGTAGACTCCGAGGTAGGCTTCGGTGGGGCGCGCCGGCCGGGGCGCGCGCGGAGTGCCTGCTTCTCCTATCTCCCACTCCAAATACTCCGACTGCTTTCTCGCCCCAGCCCTCTCTCGACTTCAGAGCACTTCTCTGGGGTTGGCACCGCTGAGGAATGGGCCTGGGCGGGAAGATGTAGAGAAGCCAGGAATGTTTTGTGTTTTCCTGATGGGGAGGGGGCCGCTGGAGCCCCGGAGCTAGGAGAACACGGAAAGGGGGGTTGGGGTTCCTGAGATCGGGTCTCGCTTTTGAGGACACGTTTTCTGGATGGGTCTAGGATGCTCCCCTGTCTCGGGAACCCCGCGGTCCGGCCCCTGCCTGCTGGGGAGGGGGGGGG